CAACTCAACCATGCAACTCATTTTTGTTCAAGGATCATCATATTATGCTACTTGAAACAACCACACCATCTTTTTTCCAGAGCAGCCTGTATTTCTCCAGTAGCCAGTGGGTTTTTCTTAGTACCCCAAACAATTCTTCTGGCAGTTGTGACTGCAATCTTTCTTGGTCTACCTGACCATGGCTGGGTATCAAGAGATCCCGAGCGTTCCACTTCTTAATAAGTGATTGAATAGTACTGACTGACATTTTCAAGGCTTTGGATATCTTTCTATATCCTTTTTCATCTTTATACAGTTCCATTACCTTGTTACGTAGGTCTTTTGACAGTTCTTTTTTGCTCCCCCATGGTTCAGTATATAGCCTCCTCAGTGCATCCACCTGAGAGCTAACAATTTCATTGACCATTTATACACAGACACTTAAAGCCACAGATGTGGGAAATTAACTTTTAATTGCCATTTTAACCTGTGTGTGTCACCTTGTGTGTCTGTAACAAGGCCAAACATTCCAGGGTATGTAAACTTTTGATCAGGGTCATTTGGGTGATTTCTGTTATTATGATTTAAAAAGGAGCCAAACTATGTGATAATAAATGGCTTCATATGATCACTCTCCTTAAATAAAAGACAGTTTTTGACACCAGTCATATTTTCAATATCAATGCCAAAATGTCACGATTTCTGCCAGTGTATGCAAACTTTTGAGCACAACTTTATCACTCACTGCTGACTTTCCATCAACCAGCAATCTCCTCCACGGACCGCAGCCTGTCCTGGTGGGTTCAACTTGAGAGCCTACAGGGAGACGGTTTCTCAATTTAAGCCTATTGGGATAAGGCTATACACGTGCAGTACTTCGTATTCTGCCATCTCACTAAAGACAAATGTAGACCACATCTAGTTAGACTACGTCTTTAGCTGAGGTCAGTAGTGTCTGGTATGGCTAAAATGGAAAGGCAAACAGGAAGCACTTGGTCCCAAACTGAATAAAATTGTATCCTTTACCAACAGACTTCAAATACTGTGAGGCTGGGTTCACACCTAGGCGTATTACGCATGCACGTCTGTCGCGCGACCGTCACGCGATTCCGAAGGCTACTTGGCTGTATCCCAATTGAAAACGTAGGGCGTTCAGACGGGCGGAAATACGGAAAGGTGTGAACCATACCCATAGAAAACAATGGGATTTTCATGGTTGTACGTTTTGTAGAGCGTTCATAGAGCGTTGAACGCCCGACAAAACGGAAAGGTGTGAACGGGGCCTAAGTAATATCTGGGAGGCATGCCTATGTTGATTCTGACTTTAGAAACATAGAAACCTTGGGGTGCTCAGCACTCTGGGGAGGAAAGCTATTAGAATAAAGCAGATTACATTACTGGTTTGCTTTAAAAATGGATTGTGTGATGCAATTAAAAATCTGCTTTTGCTATACTAAAACAGGGATTTTTTAGGCAACAAAAAAAATAAATAAATAAATCTTTTTGACCTTTTCCTGTATTCCGACAATCTGGCCTATGGTATCTGTTTAGGGACTTCCCTCCAAAGACACTTCCCTCCCCTTTAAATTGAGCAATGTCGTGCGGGTGAGAAGAATAAACAGTTAAAGTCTGAAGTTTTGCTTGAAGGGATCAAGGAGGTTAAAAGCAAGCATGAAATGCAGACCACACACACTACTCTCTGCTGAGAGTCGATGCAGACGTTTTATAGAAAAAGGGTTTTAAACACAGTACACTCCGATACTAAAGTCTAGTTAGAATACAGGAAAAGGTCAAAAAGATTGTCACAGTTTATGGTAATGTGTTTTAATGCTGTACGGATTAAAAAATTGAATTTTAATTATAACGTGTCATGCAACAAGCCAGAACGAGCTTCCATTCCCATGAATCTGTACCACTTGTTATATATGCTAGAATCTAGCTCAGCCACATTGTCCACATTCTGGTTTAATGATGAAATATTTAAAATATACTTTTGTTTATATTTATTTCTAATTACCAAGAGAAGTAGTCAGTACTGAATAGTTGTGTTAAGGTCATGACCAGGATTGAAAGAAATTATATTTATTTATTATTATTCTGTTTTTAGACCTCCCCACTTGTTATAACAATTTGAAGAACTGCTTTGCCATTCATTGTTGAAATCCGTTCCATCAGCTGACCTCATTAACGTTTGTGCTACATGATGAATTCACTCAGAAGGCAAATTGATAGAAATAAGTAGGTCAGTGTCTATCAATGCCATCTCTTCACTGGACTTAAACTGTACATCTCAAGGAATTAAATGCTAAGTCTAACCCTTGGCTAAACCAACTATAAAATATCTACTCAACACAGCTGTCAATTTGATCTCCAACAATTCAACTTAAATGTCTAAAATGTTTTTTTAAAGGCAAGCTTTTTTTTAGTATTTAGATGTTTTTTTCCAGTTGGAGAGATTTTCCTTACATTTCCTGTCCCCAAGAAAACGGGAAGGGAAGGGACCGTTCATACTTGCCCACTCTGGGGCCTTGTTTTAACGTGCATTATGTTGCGTGTTGATTTGTGATGCATCAAGGCAGTCCACTCAAATAAATGTATGTGTGTTGTGCGTTTCCTTAGTGTGTTGGGAAGCCAATGGAAATAAATTACACCACAACATGCAAACACATGTAATGTGTTACTGTTGTGAACTGAAACTGGGCCTAAAGCGAGAGGATATTTCTCAAGTAAGGAGAAATGCCTTCAGCTGTCACCAGACCAGTTGCCTACACGGGGACCTTACCTCCTGTTCTGGGGACATCTTCTGTAGATTTGCCATTACCTTCGGTCACCAGGACAAGTAAAGAAGATTATTCTTCCCAACACTGATGCAGACACCAATAAAAGACGTTCTAACCCTATATTCAAAAGGTTTTTTTTTAAAACGAATTTACCAGCTGTCTGGCAGTTGGTTGAGACAAATATTTTCTCACTCAGGGCTCAATCACACTAGATGCAGTGCGCGCTGGGCCGATGCTTGCAGCATTTTGATCGCACCGCACAGGATCGGACCGCAGGCACAATGTGCCTTGCGATCCCGTGCGGCGGATCGCATTACGGCCCGGAGGGCGTGTGCTACAGCACCATTCACTTGAATAGCCTGCCACACCCCCTCCTGCCCCGCTAAAAAGTGAGCCGGCCGCAATGTGAGGCAGTGCGTCTTGGCCAAAATCGGGCCTGAATACACTGCATCTAGTGTGACTGAGCCCTCAATGAACCCAGAACACCACTGCTATCCAAATCCTCCAGTCATGTTGGATAGCATGACCCCGCTTTCACACTACGATTGTAGTACCAAGCAGATAAAACAACAGCACATAGCAGTGGACATGCTATCCGACATACTGTATCTATTCTAGTGACAGCATCGCTTTGTACTCTTAAACGACTCCATAGAACCCAGAGGTTAAAAATACAAATGGTTTTATTTACTAGTTTCACCAGATGTGGACCTGCAGTAGCCCCAAATGTATTTTTGGGAACTCAACCCATTAATAATGAAAATTGCTCAATGCAGATATCTACAAATTGATTCCACCACTGTCTCCATCGTACCAGTTTTTAAGGGTATATTTTGATATAAAATTCTTATTCTCCTGTCCACACATCACATTCTGAAATACAATTCAGACCTCAGATAAAGAGACACCAATGTTTACAGTTCCTGGCCTGCTCAGGGATGAGCAGAGTATCAGTGTTTTGCATCCCTTAAGACATATGCCCTGAGAATAATGGATTTCCCAAGCAACAAACAAACCTGTGCTTTGACCATGCATGGCAAAATATCAGGCTTGCTTTAATGACCCAGCAGCACACTCATCCTAGCTTTGTTCCCCCACAGCTCAGTTCAGACTCCAGCAAAGTAAATAGGTGGTACTTCTGGTACCGATATAAGGAAGGATGTGTCTCACACCATGTGACAGAACTGGTGCTTGATGACTGGGCAAGTGCTATCACATGGGGGCAGTGATAGTGCTTGCTATCGTCAGTCAGCTCTGTGGAAGCTATGACGGCAGTGACCTAGAGATTACACAGGGTTGTCTTCTTTTGCTCCCAGAGACTGAACGCAGTGGTGGTAAGTTTGTACATCAGGGGAAGGGAGCAAAAAGTGAACATGTTGCTTTGCCCTACATGCATATCAATTATCCACTATGGCCGGGGTAGCCAAACTTCAGCCCTCCAGATGTGGTTAAACTACAAGTTTCAAAAGACACTGCAAGACTCTGACAGCCACAGGCGTGACTCTCAGGGGCAGAGGCATGATAGGCTTAAGTTTGGCTACCCTTGGTCTATGGCCAGACCCAGGAGATGCACAACAAAGCCAGGGGGCACCGAAGCACCAGACACCAAACGCCGCTTAGCTCTGGGCATTGGGCATTTATTTCTATATCTGAGGTCTGTGTTTGTATTCATAATTTGCTGAATCCACTTCACCAGATGCAGACTTTCAGAATGCAAGAGAGATAATTTTGCAAACTACCTGTGACTGCTATCAATGTAGACTTAATTAACTGCAGAAAATTACAAAAGGGAGTTTTTAAGAATTCAGTAATCAAGCAGTGCAAGCCAAGGATAATCACAAAACAGCTGTAAGTAGAAAGCCAGAAAGCAGTGCTGTGTTTTGAAAGAAAACATGTGCTTTGTTATCCTTGGAGCATACAGTAAATTACACTACTATATTTATTGTCCTTGTAATGTACTTTTAGACTGACCACAAAAGATCAGGGTAGTTCAGATGAAAATTTAATTACAAAATGTCAAAACAAGCGGTGTTCAGGCCCAAGTTTTGTGCTGCACGCTAGCCAATCCTGAGTACCTATTAAAGTGTTAATAAGAAATCTTACGGCTCCTTTTCAGCCCAACAGAAAGTCATCTGTGGTAATGTACTAATCATGTTTTATGGAACAAGTACTTGGTCACAAGTAAACAACTGACCACGGTGATGAGATAATGTAAATAAAAAGCAAAATGACTTGATCTACCTTAAGAGCACAGAATATACAGGAATCCCCCATACACTTGTGTGTAGTTAGCTGTCGGAAGCTCCGGCGGAATATGTCAAGATGCCACAAAACCTGCCAAAGAGAAAAAGATTTGTCTATGTCAGAACAAAAAAAACATTAGATCATATTGCTTAAAATATCTGAAAGACTTGCTTGTATTGCAAATAGTAAGAAGTCTGCTTCTCGCTATTATCTTGCTGATCTAGACACATACATATTTATTTCTTGGCGCAATACGTTGTTCTTGTTTCAGATACGTTCAGTAAATATTCATGGAGATCTACTATACTATGACTATGGATATTCAAGTCTTTACATACTCTTAACAAGCAGAAAATTAATTTAGAAACACTATTACTGATCTTCGTAGCTACAGGCACTGTGGAGCAAGTTCACAACAGAAGCACTATAGTTATCAGTGAGCAACCCATCTCACCATGCTCTCCTTCCCAGGGCACATGTTTCATGTTAATATAGAGATTAAAAGGATAAAAGGCTTCCAAGTCACTGCCGGGAAGATGAGCAGAAGGAATTGAGTGAATGACGAACTTCAGGGCTTCTGCCTTGAATTTTGAATAAATTGTTCCACATTACCTGCAGCCTACAAGGTCAGTAAGGGCTTGTTTTAAGGCTCATTTACAGATCCAAAAGAATATGATAACACTTGAATGTCTATAGACGGGACACAGGTTCACTTGAAATCTTGATTTATCAATGTCGGAGCATTATAAGCTTCCCACAATTTATTTTATGGAGCAGAGATGTCCCTTTAGGAAGTACTTCAAATGTAGGACTACAGTGTCATGGAGTTTTCATTGCAAGAAAAAATTAATGTGTATCTATAGATAAAACTACTTTTTTGGATACAGTAGGGAAGGGTGAAAATCCCTGTCAGGTTTTTGTTGTTGTCTGTGTACCATTAAAGAAATTTCCCTTCACTTCTTGTCCTAGAAACAACAGGAAGTTAGTGGAAATCTCCCAAAAGTGAGGGGAATTCCTGCCTTAGACAGCTAGACAGAATAGGTGTCCCCATTGGAAAGTTTCCACTCACTCTGGGGACAATTCTAACATTATGAATTCCTTCTCACGTTCTCAGTACAAACAGAAGGGAGAATCTCCCCAATGGGGACATCGACAGCAATAAAAACCTATTAGAGGTTCTTACACTTCCTCACTCTATCCAAAAAAACAAAAACAAAAAAAAGTCTGCCTAGAGATGCACTTTACATCAGGTCACAAGCACAGCATACTTCATCTACAACACATTGAGCTTACGTATTAACAAAAGCATAGAAAAATTCACCTAAAACATTTATTTTTTTAACCAAAAACAACAAATTGCCCCGAATATAATTATGAGTTGCTGACCACTTCAGTAGTAGCAGTTTTTCAACCACTTATGGATCAGTCCATTTTTTACATTTCAGCTATATTATTTAGCAATAAATGTTCAATTATTTATGAAACCGCAGCAACGCATTTTTGTTTTTGGCCTCATTCACACGAAGGAGCAAACCAAACAGCAGAGTGACACTTGGTGGAGCAGCCGTCTGTACAATTCAATGACAGGACATGGCTGCACGCTGCTACACGTGGACTGGAATTTGCACATCTGTATAAGGTGCAGATGTCTGCCTCCAGGGGAGTGCATCCATACCAGTAAGGAAGGCTTTCTTTTCTGTAAGTAATGAGTTGCAAGATTTACAAGCCATTTTATTTTATATGCTAAAAGTAGTCAAAAAAATTGAAACAATACATTTTCCCAAAGTTTTATTCATTTTGAAACTAAACTAAATCGAATACCAAACCTATGTTATAGTTGTGGGAAGTTGTAGGAAGTGTTAAAAAAGGAGATGTCTAACTTCCTGGAACAGGAAACAAGAGGAAAACCCCTATTAGGTTGTGAAGACACAGGAAGAATTCCCCTCTGTCCCCGTTGACAAGTTATGAGGACATAAACAGCAGTAAACTTAGCAGAGATTGCATTTGCAACGTGTCCCCACTCTACCCAAAATGTAACATCAAAAGAGTTTTGGCTTTGCACTTAAAAGTACAAATAATATTCTGCATTTAGTAAAGCACTAAAATGATATTGCCGTTTCAAACCATAGTCCTTTTCAAATGAAATAAAAAGTTTATTTAAAAGAAAAAAGTGAATATAAACTAATAGAACGTCTCTGTACTAAGGCCAAAAATTGGACATCTTGAGTAGCTTGTGTTATCCAGTGCAGCTGCTGATCATGGAATGCCACCAATGATATGTAGCTGAACAGATCAGCGTTGTAGTCAGCTATAGCAGCAACTGTGTAGCCAGCTACACTTTGTCAGAAGCAGAAAGATTTGTGGCTGCTAAAAAGCTCTGCTACAAACTTGCTATTGTGACATGCCTGTAAGAGGAAATTAAAATGGCTAAAGGCTAGTTAGTTGGAGAAGGGGTTAACTAGAAATCTCTTTATCTATCTATATTTATTTGCTTTACAGGTTTGGTGCAGCCTCTGTAGTTCTGATAAGATCAGGGAACTAGCTGGAATTTGCACCAACCGGTTTGCAACTCTGTCATTGTTCTGTAAAAGTACCTGAATCACCGCCATTGGCCGCTGGGGTGATTGCAGACCAAGATTTCCGTTGTCAGGCTGACAGCGGAAGTGCGGTGGGAAGAATGAATTAACTTATATAAACACTCTGGAGGCTTAAGTCCTTCAGAATGCTTATATGCTGTTATGGTTAATGACTTTACAGAAGAGCTCCAGTCTAAGCAAAAACTCTTATATAGTTTAAACTCTTATATAGTTCCTAATGGATCCGCTGTTTGGATCTATAAATATAACCTATTAACAATTTTCGGGGCTATAAATATGCTAAATAGCTGATCACTGAAGAGCTAGGCTGTGATTTATCCTATCCCACCACAAAACACACACACACACACACACACACACACACACACACTCACACACAACCACCACCACTACAGAGAACCATGTGATGGGGAGGAGGAGTTGCTTTTAAAAATTCTAATCATTATATCTGTGTAGGACTGTTAAACCGGCCATACACTGTTAGATTATTTCCATTCAAACTGTAGCCTGAAACATCCACACTGTTCCACGATATTGAATTTGGACAGTGACGGCTGTTGAGTTGAATTCGATGGACATGTATATTATATATTGACTAACTATGTAACCATGTTCCTCTGTCAGAATACCCAAACAATGACGGCAGCCGATTGGCTGCCATCAGTTTGCCCAAAATTTTTCAAACAAACGCCTTCGATTTTCTGATCGAAAGATGCCAGGGGGAAGGCTGACGACAGGGTCACCCACTGGTCATATACTGTGTGGCCAGTGGGTAACCCTGTCGTCAGCCTTCTGTTTTTAGGGCTAGTTCATACCAGATGCAGTTGTGATACAGTCCGTTCACTTTGGCAGCTGCATCAAAATAGCGTCACAATGCTTTCCAATGGGATTTCTGGTGCCCTGTTCACACCAGTGCAGTCAGAAAAAATCCTGCTAGTCTCATTTTAGCTGCACCTGACGGCAACAAAATGCGTCAACGAATGCACTGTAAGGCACGCAGTTATAGTGTGAACTGGTCCATAGAGATATCACAGCACTATAGCCAGTGTTTGGTTTTTGTAAGGAGATTGCACTGGTGCTATATGTAGTCATATTTATTTTAAATTTTTAGGGAGTTTGTCAACACTTCAAGTGATTGTTTAAGAAAATACTGACAAAAAGGTTTTGTTGTATGTAATTGAGGAGGGGAACATCCTCCTACACAACGTTGACCAACCCTATTGATGAATATCACCAACTGCTGTGGGTAAGCTGGTTGAACATAAAGGTAAATCAAAACACATTAAAAACTACCTGTACTAAAAAGGTACACATGGAATTAAATATGTAATCTTCTACATAGATACTGACACTCATACCTTTACATGGGTATTTATGGATATTATTTGCTGTGATTTTAATCTTAATGGCTCTCAGCTATTCTGATCTTTCCAAACAATAAAATGCCTAATAATTGTATTAAAGTCATTTACATACAGCATGGCTGTCGCAAGACACTTAAAATATTTTGCTTGAGATAAAGCAAACAGTACAGCAGGGTAGCATTCCTATGTAAAGACATTCCAACAAGCTGAAACAATATTGTTTTATTACAGGGAGTACACGGTCAGAAAGGCTTGTCTATCGGAAACTTGTCTTTCTCCAAGAACACCTTGCAAGTATTCAATCGCGTAGCCAGTCAACTTCTGGCCCTGCCCAGTCCTCAGCTCAAAGCTATGCAAATAGAAATAACATCACAGAAATTCTCATTAATATGTCTTAGTCATAAGACCATGACGGGAACACCCTGTTGACTGCTTGAAGCAAATTATATTAGGTTATTAAAATAGCAGTCTCGTTAGGAATTAGTACTGTAAACAGACACATCCCATTGACTTCAGATGCTTTCATGGTGAATAAGAAAGAAAGAACCTATTCAAATTATAGTAAAAGTTACAACATAGGTTTAACTTGATTATTGTGTTTGAAGTGTGAGTAATCTGCCTGAAATTTATCAGTAGAGTTCTGTAAAAATTCTTAGGATATCAGCCAGTGACTCCTTCTCTCCATTTTTACTGGGCTATCGCCAAAACAACTGCAATGAAAAAAAGGAGCTCAAGTCAGGCAAACAAAACCAAAACAGACAGAAAACGATATGTGCACTACAATTGTTATCATGTCCAATTAGACACTGTCATCCGTCACCCAACAACCATCCCCTCCCAGCTGCAAGGTATACTCAATGATCCATGCTCCCCTGCACCCCCTTACCCCACCAAAGGAGTCTATCCTACTGAAGGAGTCCACCCTGAATAATCTCAGGTGTCAGATCTCACTTGGGTAGATGTGTCTATCCCCCCTCCCTTCACCAAAGTTATAATGTTTGGGGCACTCAGATTCAAGCACTGTCCTATGTGGGGGGGCCGCAGGCTTACCTTATACCCAGAAGACCTGCTCTGTGGCTGCTCTGCTGCAGAAGGAGTGGGAGTGGACTATCAAAATGCGCTGTCACTT